CTGTGAAAAAAATGAATGAGAGCCATGAGAGTGTGCATGAATGGTGTCTTTGGCAAGCAATCCTTCTAAGGCTCCTGATGTACTTTGTACAAGTAAGAATGCCTTCTCCATAATGGAGGCAGAGTCATTTCCTCCATTAGACTAAGTGGATGTCTTTGTGTAATACTGGCAATCAGGCCTGTTTTGTTTTGGCTCATTGTTTGCAGTTGAGGAGATGCATTAGGCACATGAGCGAGCATCAGACTTACATTTGTATTTCTCTTGGACGTCTGCATTGCACAAGGTCACCAAACCCATCTTGAAGCTGAGAACTCGCATTTTGCCATTTCGAGCACTGCAGAAAGGAAAGCGAAGAAAATAAAGTGTTCAAATGTGACAGTTTCTGAATGGTGAATAATCTCAAATCATGGCGCATTGGGTCATGATAATAAATTCATATGTTGCTTGAGCCCTGCTGGGAGAGACAAAGTGTGGAGGAATTACATGGGTCAAAAGAAGTGGAGTGTAGGTCAGTGCAGTAGTGTGAAATTGTATTAGAACATAATCAGAGTAACTAAAGGCACTACTGGGACTCGGTAGAGCAATAACAAGCTTATAACAACACAATGTCACTTAGAGACACGTGCATGCTTATAGCGTAAACACATTCATAAATCACACTCACATTCAGCGAGCCTCAAAAGTGCTGCCCCAAGCTGAAATAATAGCCAATAATCAATTGCAAGTAGCAAGACCATCGACGTGGACAATGGTGTGTCCACTTTTATTCCTCAGTTTGAAATTTTAAAAATAAAAATTGAATATAAGCTACCGTACTTTGATCTGAGGGGCCAACACAACAACACTGTCCGCAGCCGGAAAGAATTTAGTGCCAAGCTGAGCAGCATTGGCACGAACCGGGCTTATCAAATTAACATTTGAAATGCTAAGTGAGAAATCGAGAACATCAAATTCATCTGAGAACTTCAAATCAATGATGTATGAAATTGAATCAAGGATGGAGAATTCTCAGAAGTAAACATTGATGCTATAGATGTGCTAGAAACAGGGACAGACACGAGACACAGTTTCTAATTCACCAACGGGTCAAAATGTGAGGTAGAGAGATTTTTTCAGGCTAGACCACTACAGTCAAATGGAGTATTTATTCCCCTATTAGATTGAGGGCTGAAATTAGAGCACATGGGTACAACTGGCTGTCAACTCCTCTCACACACTTTTTGCTGTGGACCACATGCCATCTTCAATATGTACCCCAGCGCTGCTCTTCAGGCGACACTTCACTCCTACTCACCTTGCTAGTGCGGCATGTCTCTAGAGGACACATGTATGCTGCGATATACTGTAGGCAGTGTTGGGGAGTAACGGAATACATGTACCGCCGTTACGTATTTAAAATACAAAATATGAGTAACTGTATTCCGTTACAGTTACCGTTTTAAAAGGTGGTATTTAGAATACAGTTACTTTGTTGAAATAAATGGATTACAAGGCGGTACTTCCCTGTTTCATATTGTCGCAGGTCAGGCCTGTTTGGGTTTTGTTTGACAGCTACGTTCTGTTGTTCCAGGCTGCAGCGTTACAGTTGCCATGGTTACAGGGTGACGCTCTCTCTCTGCGTGTTTCCTGGGTGAGAGAGCGCCTGTTGTTGTTGTTGTGCTAAGCTAATAGGCAGAATGCTACAGGTATAGCTCTAAAGAATGTAGCATCATAGGCAGTGTAGTCCGTGCTGCAGGGAGAATGGACTGCCATACCCGTTATGTGTGTGTGAGCGAGGGAGGGAGAGAAAGGAAAAGTACGAGCTGTCATCGAGCAGAAACGGGAGCTGGAAGCATGTAAATATAATAATAACCACTGCAGCCAAGAAGAGAGCCTGACGAGCCCAGTTGTAAGTAAGCTATTAAGACTCGACTGTACACCGTGTTCGTGTTTTCCTCCAAAAACAATAAGTTCTGTTGGAGCAGCCTTTCAACGCCTCTCTCTGTCTCTGCTAGCAAAGTTGACCCAGACAACAAAGTAAAGCTAGTTTTCGGCTACGAGCCCGACACAGAACCCACCGTATTAGCCAGAGGTCCCTTTACTACGGTTCGGAGCCGCGGACCTTCAGTAACAGTAATAAATCACAGCAATAGTACATTCATGTAGTTGTAAACAGCATGATAATATATTAAGTAATCCAAAGTATTCAGAATACGTTACTCTCATTGAGTAATGTAACGGAATACATTACAGAATACATTTTGGGGCATGTATTCTGTAATCTGTAATGGAATACATTTTAAAAGTAACCTTCCCAACACTGACTGTAGGACACATTTCACTGAAAGAAAACGACTGTAAAAATTGTCACACAAACACACACCTCATTCACATTCCCTGCTGCTATCTATTGGAAAACAAAAAGCAATTACCGGAATTTATTCAGAAGGTAAAGTCCCTGATTGTCTCTCATTAGCAGCAAGTAGTTAAGAGCTACAGACTGCATTTACAGTCCTCGTGGGGTTATCCCTGGATTTCAGAGGCTGCTCTAAGGGGTTTCTCTTCAGAGAAAAGCAGAAAATGGTCAATCAGAAACAAAGATGGGTGAGCGTTTGTGTCAAAGAGCATTTGTTTCGACTGTGTCTCAGAGGAGATGAATGGCTCTTTGCCTGGACAGTGTTATTGGAGGCTTTGTCATGATGTAGCTGTTTACAGATTTCTGTGGTTACATCAATGTGCAAACAGACTCTTGTTTATGACAATGATAAATTGTTCAAAATAGATTTTTTAGTAAGTTATGACATCACAAACAGTGACTGTGCATGCAGTGTGCACCATATTTATTTAATTTGATCAATGTTATTAAGTCTACTGACCTGATGCAATAACAGTAGCGCTGAATGAGACCTGGCTCTGCAAAATCCTGATATTATGGTCATCCTAGACCCATTTCAAGCCTTTAATACTATCCTGCTCATTAAGAATTACATAAAGCATCAAGTAGTTGTAAGTAAGGATCCACTAGAGAGCAGGTGATATTCCAGATGGAAAATAAAAAACATTCAATCTAAGTGATTTACAGTTGCTATGTGAATTAAATCCATAGAGCCCCATATAGTCAATATAAAAGCCACAGTTTTGCCTCATTCATTCAGCAACATTGTGCTTTGAGCAACCAGTGCCTATATTGTAAGGATACTGATACTTCACTGTTGATGTTTTGTTTATATGAGCTTGGCACTGACTTAAAATATCCTGAACTGTGGGTATTAATATGAAACTTTATGAGCATTATATGACAGAAATGAATGTGTCATTTCTAATAGAAATGCTGCACTGCTTTGGCTTTGCATGAATACTGACCTTTTTCCCTCCATACATTATTCTTCCTTGTTAATACCTGCTACCAGCATTACCCACGAGGCAGCGGCACTACTGACAGTTTGGTTGGAGAGTCAGGTGTGGTCT